TTCTTGTGACTTTGAAATAACCACCAAGTTCTGTCACCTCAGCTTGAGGGTGATGAAGAGAGGAGGTGATAGCACCTAGCAAAAGGCAGCTGCCAGCCTGCAGAGATACTGAAGGAAATAGGTCACAGGAGAAGGGGTTGAACTGTCATGCACTTTCTGGAGCAGGAACAGCTACGTGCTACCTGTCCCCTGAAGGGAGAGATGTAAAAAGGGCTGCATGGATGCTGCTGAACAGAGGGAAGGATATACAGTGTGTAGTCCCTCTGCTAAAAGGGGAATTGAAGATCAGTATTTATGGAAAAGCTTTATTTCAAAGAAAGCTTGCTTTGTCAAGAAAAGGTTTCAGTTCTGGAGAGATCAAACACCTCTAAGAGATATGCTGCAGGGGAGAGAAGAGAAGGAGTTTCAGCTGCAGTGAAACAGGACATAAAAACATGTGCTGTACAGTGAAGAGTTGGTCAGATAAAATCCCCCACATGTGAAATTACTGTGGCAAACTGTGAGAGATGTCAGCAGCTGGGTCAGGCAGGAGATGGAGGCAGCAGGGCAGTCAGAAACTGTCAAGAATCTTAACAAGCAAGTATCCTGTAGCCCAGTGGTCCTTGAGGCAGGTCCTGGCTTCTGAGCGAGATCCGAGCTGCAGAAACAAGACAGGGAAGGCCTGAGCATCCATGGCCACTGCACAGCTCCACAGCCAGGGAACAACGTTTTGTCTTTTCCAGCGATTCCCTTGGCCCTCGTGCCTGGAAACATGCAGAAACACGAGCAAAACAAATGCTACACGTTGCAGTTTGATCGATTTCCTTATATTCTCTCAGCAGCACTGGACAAATTACAAATTAAAATGTAGGAATGACTGATTTTGTTACAGGAGGCAAGGACCTTTGAATCATAAATTCAACTCGTCAGCTTTTGACTCTGTTATCTAATTAATTTCATAAACTGCTCAACTGTCTTAAAGCTGTTTAGGTTTTCCATCCAATTACCGTGCCTGGCAGAACAGTTTCAGAGTCTCAGAGTCTCTTCAGTGATTAAATACATTCTAATTTCAGCTAACTTTATTTGTAAGTATTTCAAACCACTAAGCTTCCATTTTATTTTATCAATCATTGACCTGAAGTTGATGTAGTCTTCTTTCCCATTTTACTTTTTCACACTGATTCATTTGTGGAAGTCATGCCATGGTAGGCCCTTGTTCTCTGAGGTTCAGGAAGATCCGTTCTTCCATCTCTTCTCACAACACAAGTTCTTGCTCCTGCAAACAACCTCTGAGCTGCCTTTCAGCAAATGCGCTGTGAGTGAGCCGCTCCCGAACACTGATGATCACAATTGCAGATAATATTCTGGATGAGAACCTGATAGTGCTTCCCACAGTAACATTAATATTTTATGCTCTTTAAACTCTTGTATTCCATGAGCATATTCTAGTCTCAGAGTGCCTCATTTCTTCTGTTTAATGCTTTCAGAAATTTATCCTTGGTTTAGGGCTGGTAGAGGACTATTTCTCTGCTCTGGCGTTTTGACAAGAAACTTTTAAATCTTGTCTCAAACATGGGTTTCATTTGTTTTTCTCCTGAAGAAAATCTTTTTTTTTTTTTTTTTTAATAAATTGAAAGGAACACTTCAGTTAAAGAAAACTTCAATTTTCTATTCAAATAATAAATGTAAGAGGAATTTTAATGGTACTGAGATACTTCAGATGAATAGACACTTAACACTAAAAAAGGGGAAAATAAATGTTCTTAAAGTGATTGAAAAAAGTAGACTTTTTGAATGTCTCAGAATAATGAGATTTAGAGAGAGTTTTTGCAGATTGTAACAGCTTGATAGTTATGTAAGATACACAGAATCCTTGACAAAACAGGTTTTCTAGCATCAGCCAGTAAGCAGACAGAATACGTGCATGGGGGATAGCTATGCTGGCTGTGATAAGCAAGTGCTTAATGCTGTAGTTGGTCCATCCACCGTATTAGAGCCATAAATAAGAGTAGGTGACCTTAGTGGTTACCAGAAGGGGGAAAGGTCCCCTGTGGTGTGTGGAGATAGCCTTTACTGAAGTGTTTCTCTCCCAAAATGTATATGTCCTCTGGAAGCTTTGTTCAGGGAACAAAGCGTGCTATTATAATTTTTTATGTTCAGTTTACAACTTTTGTATTCTTTAACACTGTGGAAACTGTTATAGTTTGTAATGTAGCAATCACTTTTTAATTAGTGTGCCATTAATTCAAGCTCCAGAGATTCTGATTTATGGGAAGCAAGCCTCAGTTATTACTCTGTGTCATGTTTGGTTAAGCAATCCTAACTATAAAATGGCAAACTGGGGTGTTGGTGAAGAAGCAGCAGCTTGTGAGCTGCATGAGCACTGTTCATCAGAGCTCTACAGTAAATCTGACTGTAAGCATATTTATACACGATATTTGACAGAAACTGGTTTGCTCTTTCTGTTTTTTGGATGCTCCATGGATACCAAGATCTTCTCTCCTTGCTGCTTTTATAGTGACATGACAGCATGGGCGGTATCTCTGCTATAGCTGTGGTTCAGCTGCATGACTGTCAGTGTTCTAAAAGTGTAATAATAGCAGCAAAGAAAACAAGAAGACTGCACTGCATTTAAATGAGAGCTTTGTCATGTTGCAAATTGTATTCTGTTGTTTAGAAATCTATGTGCTGCTCAGTGCTATTTCTAATTGGCACATGAGACAGTGTGCGAACCAGACACTGTAAGGCAGTTAGATAGGACAGGTCTGTTGTCCTGAATGTGATTGAAGGTGAAGTGACCTATTGAATTCAAGAAGTTTTCAAGATTATTCTGAGTTGGTTTATTGGTGGTACTGATATGTAACTAAACTTCATTTTCATTAATATTATTAGGCCTAAATGGAAAAAGGTCTCATTTTAGTGAAAGTGGAACCCACTCTTTCTTTGATTTTTAATTTTTAATTTTGTTTAGCTTTCTGTAGGATATATTTTCTGTACGTGTATAGAAACATAGTAATGACAATAAGAATTATACTATGTCATCAATTTCAAAAACGAAATAGTAAGTATATGAAGAAAGGAAATATTTCAGTGAGGACTAAATATATAACATTATGAACCAAAAAGATGTATTCTTTTGTGTAAGGGGAGTCTGATTAAGGTCAGCCTGTGAGCGGAAATGGTTGCAATCTGCAACTGAAAAACTGCACCACTGTCTGCACTAGAGATTAGACCTGGCTTATTTTTATTCACATTCGGTCAACAGATGGTCCAACTGTTATGTGGGCATTCTGGCAATGTAGAAGTCTGCACATCAATGACAAAAAACCCATCGTACGAATAAGGAAAATGTCAGTGGGCATCTTGGCAGAATGAATACTTCACAGCATCAGCTTCTCAAGAAGCAGCATAGCTGGCTGACTTGCAAGGAGAAAACCCAGTAAAACATCATATTATTGCTAAATTAGCCAACACCATTCATTCTGATAAGACTGAAAGAGCAGAAAGGCTTTGAGGCAGACATAGTTTCTATAAAGATAATGCTATTGGCCTTTCTCCAGAGCAGTTAGCTAATATTTGCTGTCTCACTGGATTGTTACCTTAGAAATAATATTAAAAAAAAATATGATATGCTGTGAATAATAATTCTGCTCAATTGCATTTGCAGAGAATGGTGCATAGAAGGTCCCAGTTTCCCCAGGCAGCGCAGAAATGAACAGCAGCAGGCAGTTTCCAGTCTGATGTGCCTGGGAGTAGCAGCATTTTTCAAGGCTGCTGGTGTGCAGCCTATCTGGCAATGTGGAGCAAGGTGTTAATCCTTCTCTCTTGCCTGCATGTCACTTCACACATAGCCCATAGCATTGTCCCTTCCCAGGCCCTCTTCCAAGCTGGGCTGTTTTTCCAGCTGTGTCTCCAGACTGAGGCAGCTTCAAGGAAAAGAACAGAAAATGTGAAAATGGAGATGAGGAAAACTGTTGCTTCTGCACAGCTGAAGAAGTGCCATGGGAGTGAGAACGTGGATGAGGGAGAAGCATTAGGAGCTGCAGCTGGATGTCACTTTTCCAACTTCTGTCTTGAAACCCTCCAACCCTCCTTCTTCCTTGCTTTGTCCATCACTGTTGCTCTGTTGTGATCTTCTTCCTCTTGTTACCCATACTTGCAGAGGTGAAACCTGCTTCAGTCGCATGGACTGGACATGCGATCACTCTCAGTGACATCCACTCTGCCTGTAGGATTTTATTTACCTTTATTTACCTCTCTAGTTCCTACAGTGGTCCTGCTGTCTGAAGGAGCAGAGCTCCTTCTGTTCAGGAGGGTTAGTGCTGTTCTTAGCTCTATCATGCTCAATGAATGGAGGAAGATCAAAGACAGCTTTTGATGATAGCCATTAGCACCTTCCAAAATGAGAGTGCAAACATTCTTTTCACTGATGGAACCAAGGTTGATTATGTTTTCCTGAGATGGTAATACCAGATTGTAGACAACACTTGCTTTTTACATCCCTTTGAAAGGGCAATGAGGTGAATGTATTGAGCAGCTGTGCCTCCATAAACAAATGTACTGGCACACACTGCTGCACCTATCAAAGAGAGTAAATACTGGTAATGTATTTGACAGTCTGTCTAAATTGCGCAAAGCTGACAATTGGCTAGAAACACAGCAGATTCTTTTTGAATCTGACTGATTTTGTTCCTAAATGACAGTAATTTTATCATGTTGTTTGGTTATAGTGTTGACAAGGTGAGCTTGTTGCTAATACTTGTTTTTAATTTTTGTAACTGATCTACAGTAGGATTTTAACAATGCACCTAATTACTGTGCATATTCAGAGATAAAAGAGTGCTCTTAATGTGTTATTCATAACATGGAGTTTGAGAACATTATAAGGCCAGGATTTCCTTTAAATATTAATTTCATGGTAGCCGTGGATGTGCTTGGCTCTTGTAAAGAACAAAAACACTGAATGCAGCTCTAAATTTTGTTCCATGCAGTTGATTTATATAAATATTTTCATTCTCTAGAATGGAGGAAACGGTGAGAAATCTGCTACAGAGCCAAGGATCCCCAGGCCAGAATGGAGAAGGAACTGTCAATATCATGAAGGCATATCAGGTAGTAGTGACTTATTACCTATTTTCTTGTAATAGAAAAAGTTCTATAAAACAGAAGTCTCACTGCTGAGATAAAGGTGTTGGACAGCGTTTCCTCTGTTTGTTACAAATACTTACGAATGGTTGCTGATACCATCTACGTTTTTCCAGGTGTTCTCTCATCATAGTCAAAGGCTTTTTGTTTTTATTGACATTATTATCTGCAATTGTTACTTTCTGAGCTTTCATGGGACAGTGAAACTAGGTTTGAAGACTTTCTTGAAGTGTTTGTTATTTAAGTAATATATTCTATATTCCATATTAGAAGACATAGATGCTTTTGACAACTTGACCTTCACATTAGGATGGAAAATTTTATCAGCTCATATTCTTACTGAGTTTGAGGTTTCCATATCAAGCTGCAAAATTTCCTCTTACTGCTTGTGGTACATGCATTTTATTAGCCTCACTGGGGGTAGAGGGAAAGTATCTCAGGACAGATTTTAAGAAAGCCATGATTTCAGAGCTTTTTGTATGGAATTTGGTCAGTTTGTGATGCTTATAAGAAAGGAGGGTTGTACACTTCTCTAGTGTACTGCTGTGTTCTGGAAGCAGTGAATCTGAAGTGGTGGGAAGCCTCTGGTGGTGGAAAGTCTCTGGAAACAGGAATGATCTACTGCCCAGATAATCAGATATTCTGCACATTAGTCCTTTTTAAAAAGCACTTGCTGAAGGCGGTCTGTGCTTTATCTTTTTAAACAAAATAAGCATTTCTGATGAAGATATAAAATGCTGAAATCATGTGTGAAAGTCTGTACAGGGCATCAACTCTTCTGATAAGAAGCTTTTCAAAAGGTTTAGTTACCATAGTCCTTTCCTACAGAAGGAGCAAAAGTACAGCGATATAGCTAAACAAAAATGTATATTAACAAGTATTTATTGCTATAATTGAATTTTCATTTTAAGCTGGGATTGAAGAGAAAAAAAAATCTTTTAAGTTAACCTCCTGAAATAATCAATTTTTCTTGGTAAAATGATAGCCTGTAAAATTTAATTTCAGGATGAATTAAACTTTTTGTTGAACTGATAATATAGAACATTGTGCTTTCAGAAACTGGTTATGAAAGCATCTATATTTTACTTGCTGCCTTTTTGGAATGTGAAACCAAAACTCAGTTCAGTTCCCTCCTCTTGGTTGAGTTCTCTGCTCACTCCTGCCACTACACTGGGTATTCTGAAGTGCATTGATTCTGTACTCTACCTTGGGTGGATTCCTTGGTTGTCTGCTTGTAACACACTGTTTATGAAACATTTTATTGCCAGCTTTTCTATACAATTTTTTACCTTGGAAACCACAGTAAGGTGATACTACAATTAGGTTTTAATTTCTTTGTGTTGTTTTTTTTTTTTGAACTTGCAACAAGAGAGGAAAAATACTATTTTTGTTTCAGTCAAGATGAGGTGTTTTGTAGGTTTCTTTGGAGGCTAAAAGCAGAAAATTATTAGCTGTGTGATCTTCTTGAAAGTAGAAATTTCATGCATGTGCTGATGCCCTAAAAGGGAATTAAACTGATCTTTCCAATTTCAGTATTTGTGTATTTCAGTGTAAGTTTTCCTTCATGATTTATTTGCATTATAGTTTTTGAAAAGAGAAAGGATTTCTGTTCTTTGGTGTTTTTTTCTTTTCTTTGGCCCAGGCACTTGGTGTCATCCACCGGTCACAAGAATGGTGTGTTTAGTGTAAAATCTCGTGTGCTTCTTTTCAGTCCATCACAAGAAAAGGTTTTGCCCAGTTAGTGACTTGAAAAGCAATTCATTGTTTCCCTTCAGCTCTAGCAGAGAGCCCCCTCCACCTAACACATTGCTCTCTAATATTTTTTCATTTCTTTCCAGGCATGAGCTTTTCTTTGAAGCTGTTGGGTAATAGTTGGGGCTCATTCCGCAGACCAGAGTTAGATGGAGTATAGCCATCTCTGATCTTTTAGGGTCCTGTTACTCTAGAATTGTTTTTAATCTTGTGCTTTGCATTGCATAACAATGTCCTTCTCTTCCTGTTCTCTTCTTGTTCTTGGGGAAGTTTTACTGCTTGTTTTAATTTTACTCATGGCAACTGTCAGCTTGTACTTTATCAATTCTCATAGCTTTTTATTGCAAATATGTGGTTTTCTTTGCTTATGAATTCCTTTTCCTAATACGTGACTCAGAAGCAATGCTTTTCCCTGTCCTGAAGGAATAGCTCATGTACTGCATCGTGTACCGGTCTGTGATGAGTAAAATAGGTAAAAATATGGAACGTTTCCATGAGCATTGTGATTTTTCTGAATGTATCTTTGAATTATTCATCCTTCCATTCCCTTCGTTATTTTTGAAGAATTTGTTTTCTTTTTCCATTTCAAGGGATGGCTCTGTTCACATGGAAAACAGTGCATTTCAGCCCTTATACTGCTTTGTAGGCTACAAATAGGTTCGCTTATTGTATGTTTGTTACTCAGTGATGAAGCAAAAACTATGCAGTGAGTTAGGCAACACCCATGTGTAACAGAAGATAATACTTGAAACACTCATCAAAACATAGTTGGCCAAAAATCATGTGATCTGAAATGAGAAAAACATTAGTAAAGCATTGTGAAAATAATGAATACGTTACTGAAATCAACTGCGGAAATCATGAACAAACGTATAATCTAAATGTGTGATGAGTTCTGTTACAAAATCTGATCCCAGGTTTGGCAAGAAACACCAGTATTGCAATAGAAACTGTTCATTTATATCTCTTTCAAATATGCCTGGACCACTTTTTGATGTACTTACAGGGGTAATTCACAAATGGAAATAGAACTTGAATATACAGCCTAGGTAAAGTTTCTTTATACCCTGATATATTTGTTTTTTTGGGAATGTGATAACCGTATTATCATCCTATGTTATAAAGTGAAGTATAGATGTGAGCTAACACAGGAAAAAAGACTTTTTTGGCATGATCTCCAAATGCTGTGTATATATATATGTATGTATGTATATATACACACACACACACACACACATATCTTCTTATAAAGATACAGAACTCACTGAATCTGTAAATAGTACCATTGTTTTTAAAGCCATCCTTCATAATCATGCAGTTACCTTGTAGAAGGTATTCTGAATGATACCTGCTCTCTGTAATAAGGACGATACGATCTCCACTCAGTACTCTTGAGAATCAGTTTTTAGTGCTGTTTCACAGCCATGTATTTTGTAACAAATGAGGACATGCCAGGAGATGTCTGTTGTGACTTATCAACATATGCCCCATATTGTCTGACACCACGCTAAGTTAGCTTTAGTGTGTGTACTCTGTTCAAATTAATGTCTGAATACATCTGTGCAATAAATGCTTTTGATCTATTGACCATTGTCTGCGTATTTGTTTTTTACAAATCTAATTATAGTTCTGGGATTTATGAAATTGAGTTCTTATTATAATATCAATAAGCCTGACTCCAGAATAAATATTGTTGCTAATGAACATTAAATGTTGCACAGTGATTATGTCAGAGGAATAATAATAAGATAGAGCCTAGATTGTACAGTATTGTTACAATATTGTGTCATGTCTTGTCAAGATTCTTACTTTTAGCAAAACATTCTAGCCCCTTCCATAGAGCTAGCTGCCCTATGGGAATTTAATTTGCTGGACTTACAGATGGATGATGTGATTTCTTTAGGGTAAATGACTATAGAAGCAGGATTGTAAATAAGATTCTCTGTTACCGTTTTGCATAATAGTAACGCTGGGAACATTTATAATGAACGCTCACATAAATGTAGATGTGAATACTTGTGATTTGAATTCATGTGAACCATCATACTTCTTGCTTACATGTTTATATGTTGAAAGGGTTCTAGTGAATGAGATTTTATTTTTCAAGGCGGCATTATCCAGCTACAGGTAAAACTTTGAAAGGCCAAACCAATACCTTACATATTACTACTACAGTCATTCAAGCTACTACTATATTTTACAGGGAAAGTGATCTGCAGAAATAATTGTGAGCAGTACTTCAATCCAAAAAGCTAAAACAAGCACCACTGCAAACTCTTCTTCCTAAGTTTGTGTTTTAGATGTCAAAAAATAGGGTCAGTTCCCTGCTCGATCACATTACCAAATATCTAGAGTCTTATTTGGTTACAGATCACTCACTGCCTTTCAGATTCTCTTTGAACTGCTTTTCTGTCAGTGTACAGTAATCAAAATAGATGAGGAAGAGTGTTTGTGGTAAGTTCATGATTTGTTACAATTCTGGAATTGTCAGGTTGGGCAGTAAAGCTCAGGACAGACATGGCATCAGAGGGGAAGGACAATCTGCCGTTTCAAGCACTGTGTTCAGGAGATTAGATTTCGATTCCTTCCTTTGACACAAATGTTTCTGTTTCCTTGAGGAAATACACTTCATCTGTCTATTTTTTTTTACCTTTGTCTATAAGAAGGTGATAGCAACATACATTTTTACTCTCAGGTGCGTTTAAGATGACATCAATGTGTATGAACTGCTGTTTCTGATAACAGGAGCACTTGTAGCCAAATAATGAGTAGAAAAAGAAAAGTAAAAAAAGACTTTTTGTATTTCGGTAGACTTGAAAAAAGGCATATTTCTCCCAAACTTTTGCTCAGCATACTGTACACTGTTACTATACTTCTAATAGGAAATGAATCAATTTCAAGTGGAGCTGTCCTGTCATATATTAAAAAATGTAGGAGAGAATTTTTGCTGTGGGGAAATGAGTACTCATGACTGAAGCCTTTGCAACCTTTTCAGAGCCCCACTGTGCTTCTTTGACGTAAACTATCTAAAAGAATACTGCAGTGGGGAGAAGATTCTTTCCCCTGCTGGGAACTGACATCCTGGCTTTTATACAGTCTGACCCCATCCCCATCTAACATGATAGGCCCAGTCATCCCTGAGTGTCTGTGATAAGGAATTTGTTGAGGAGAATGAACCCATTCTGAGGTCACTGCTGTTGAGTCATCACCAAGCA